TTTTTTTTTTTTTTTTAATCTATAAATATATACGATTTTTTGCTTATTTTGGATTATTAAAAAGAAAAATCAAAAATTAGTTAAATATTCATCTGTAACAAAAAAGCAATTGCTACATTTATTTTTGAACCTTTAGTGGATGAATCTTGAAGTATCCAAGAGATACTTAACTCATTGACGTAAATGGCGTCTATAGATGTCCATTGCGTGTGCTTGTAGGTGCAAATGACGTCTATAGCAGTCTTATATTCTTAGCATTATAGAACAAAAAACAACGTATGTTTTGCAAACACTCACACATATTATAAAATGAGCGTCAACGTGTTGTTAAAGCATTTGTTATAATTCGTAAATCGTTGAAAATTTTTTGTTTGAGTTGATTGTTCATATTTTTTTGGAAAGTTTCGTGAAATAAGAGTTAAGCACCTGTCAAGTTTTCACTTTATAATTCAAATTGTTTAGTTGACACTACTCCACAAGGTAGATGTAAGCTGGTGTTGTTCGCTATACATTCAATCCTTATAGAATTACTTATTTCTCAACGATATAGGTAATTTATAGGTGGGGTTTCAATGGTGATGTCAATACTGATACAATATACATATAAGCACGGGAGACGATTTTACTCGCAAAGTCACAACAAAGAAAACTATTTGCAATGCAAGAAAAGTTGATGTCTACGCCTTAATGAGAAAAGACGCTGTAAAGTTATTGCATTTGAAGGTGTATTCAAAACGTGTACCTTTGAGTATCAGATTGAAGTCGTCTTTTATGGAAATATTATATTCTCCCCTGGGGAAGGCTTAAGCATATTTAACGTTTGCGCGTTTGGATACGACAGGCTCCTGATTGTAATTCAACAAACCATCTAAATTTAAATGGGTAAACTTGAGTCATCGATATATTAAATTAGAAGGAGCAGGGGTAGGTTAAAAAGATGATGGAAAATTTATTGACATCATAAAAACAAATTAAAAAGGAAAATTTACACACGTTTAACTAGGAACCGACCGATTCAATATGATTTTCTGAATTGATTTAAGACTGCCTGTCTGACAGTGCCATGTCCATCCATGCAAAATTTTATATTCAACTTGGAGATCGTAACTTCTGAGATATTTTTTAATGCAATTGAGTTATGTTAGTTAAGACGCTATTGGACTGGATTGGACCAATGTTATGGCCATTTCCCACATAATATCATACTTTCAAAAAGGTGTTATATGAAAGGAAAATAAATCAATTGCCAAAAAAAAAAACACAATTTTTAATAATTCGTAATGAAAATTGATTCATTATATCAATTTGAGAGAGAAATTTATTGTAGGAAATTTGGAACACATACGTGCATATTCTTTTATCTCTCGACTTGGGAAGACTCTTACGAAGTGTAAGCATTTTACAAACATACGACGAACAACATAGTTGAAGAATAATAAAATATTTAAGAATTTTTATTAAATTTAATAAATAAATTTGCACGTTTCCATGCAAGGCCTCCCACGAAAATATGCCTTTACACGACAGCAAAATACAATTTCTTTTGTTATTTTAGGATGAAAACAAATCAAGAAATTTATTAGGCAAACTGATCTAGGGCACTTAAAAGTATAACTTGACTATATTGTTTACTTGCTTTTCCCTCATACATCTATAATATTAATTTCCGTCCGGGTTATTTGCTTTTGTACTGTTCAATCCCTTTGACCTTAGATTAGATAGATATTATTATTATTATTATTATTATTATTATTATGCATAAGAGGGCAAAAATAAGGTCAATGGGCTAAGCTGATGAAAAAAAAAACATTTGTGTTTTGTGCACGATAAGAATTCTTGGATGTGTGTGAACTTGAGATCTGAGTGGCATATACCGAAACTACGGCGCTATTGGTGGTAAGTTATCAACTTCAAAAATAATTCTAATATTATATGTATAATTTTTGATTTGTCAAGCACATGCCCAGTTGGCTTTAATCTATCGTTGAACACACACACACCACAAATGCTACACAGTTGGGTAGACGAACGGGCGGACATGCTTAGGCGCACTCGAAGTCTGAAAGTTGGCAAAAAATTATATATAGTTTATGTGACTTTTGAAGCTTGCTTCTGAGCGTTATAAAGATACTGAAAAAAAAAAAAGAAATGAAATTTTGATGTACTATAAATACGGTTGGTAGGTATGATCAATTTTTTTCCCCTTTTTCTACAGGTATTATAGCATCCCCCCATTTAAAATATTTCCAAATTTTTATCTGACTTATTTGCCATAGTTTATAGAGTAATGAGCAAAACACCAATTTGTTTATCGCATTTGAAAAACAGAGTTTTTCTCTCACCTTACATGGTACAGTGCGCATAGATTGATTTAATCCGTTTTCAATATTACCCTGCGTGCAAGAATTCCCATATTTGAAATCGATAGCTTGATTTTTGCGGCCAGGAGAATGTTTACCCCACAATTATAACACGGGCGGACAGATGAACATGCTTAGATCGATTCAATATGGAATGTTGACCAAGAATATAGAATACTTTCTGGATTTGCAAACGTTTTGGATATAACTATGCGAACACAATTAAGCAATTTGTCATTATAGTGAAGCACGTATACGATATATATAAATACATATGGATAAGACGAGAAACTTTGAAATTTCTTTGCTTAGTATGATTAGCAGCCACCACCGTCGAGTGCAATCAGTAAAGAAGGGCACAAAGAAGAAGAACGATGAAAAATGATTCCAAATACCGTAGTTACTAACAATTTTTTATTTATTTCTTTTTGATTTGCTTGCTTATATAATAAACACTTGGGCGGGAGGATAATTTTTTCTCAACGATTTAGAGACATTTTCTTACATAGTCTTCCGAAAAATTTAACCTCACATTACCAATTCAAGATCTTTACTCTCTCACTAATCTCAGTTTGTCAAGATAAAGTTTGCCAGCTAAATTCTAAATTTCACTTCCAACCTCTTCGAACGTAGGCGGCCATCGTACATGATTTTGTGCTCTCCTTTGCTTCTATAACTTGCATTTGCTAAAAACCTTCTTTCGTGTATTAAAATATTGTACGTAGGCTGATTTGATTAAAAATTGCGAGATTATACAAAAAGTATATGTGGTGGTGTTGCATTTCTGCTCTTGCTGCTACTAGTGTAGAGAAGCAAACATCACTTTTCACGGACATTTTAAAGCATGCTAAGTACTCGTGGCTAAGTCAATTGATTTATATTTTTTATCTACGACCTGTCGATAACGCTACGCTGTTAAACGAATTTTATCCTATATCGGGCCTTTCAACATTGCGTTGGCATTTCAAATATTGCGCCATTATCGAACCGAACAGCTTGTGCTGTGCTGTCGTTACGATAAAATTTGAAAATTTTTAATCTATTTACGATCATCATCGCCAGGCACCTTCTGACACTGCTATATAGTGAATGCTAATTCCAATTCGTGCACGCTTGGTCAGATTTGCCGGAAATATTATCGCTATAAAGGAGAGAGTACGACTGCAAATCAAGGAGTATTTCAAATCAGATTTTACCGCAATTTTCATAGAGATTTTCGCTAATAATTGCTAACAATTCATCAACGACAAAATGCTGTTCATTGTTTTTAATATAAAATTATTTACCTGTCTTGATTTCCGAAAGCCCAACAAGAAGAATAGTCGAATAATCTTTCTTACCGCACAGAGTGACAGTTTGGTTTGGTTCGATTTTCGAATTGGGCGTAATTGGATCATATTTTTTGCGAAAATGCTACTGATTCTATAGTTACTGTGAAAAGAATGCATTGTGCGACGATTTCAAATTTTATACTCACCACCGGAGGAGGATGGTGTGGTGTGTTTGCAACACTCTGAAGCAAAATTCAGAGACCACGCAAAGTATTTTATAATCATGATCAGCGCATCAAATATTGATCCAGCTTGAGCATGTCAATCTGTCTGTCCGTCTGTAACGCAACAATAAAACTATCGACAGAAACATTCAAAATTCTCGCAGGCATGCCTGTTGGTATCGAAAATAGGTCAAATTGGTTGAAAAACACCTTAACAATGCGGACATAGGATGAAAACAACTCAGTTTCAAAAAGCAAAGACAGAAATGCTTCTTTGTGTTCCATCATGAAAAATTTCCGCCTACAAAAGTGGAAAAAATCGGCCACAACCTACCATATTTTTTATTAAAAGGCCCTGTAAACGTCCAGAAGGAAGTTTTAAACGCGAGTTAGTATCAGATTCTGAAAGCACTCGCTCGATTTTTGGTCTGTTCACCTCTGTAATATCGATGATAAAAATGAAAATATTCGCAAAATCATTGGAAATTTTTGCACGCAAATTGACCTTGAAAATGGACCAATTCGGTGAAAGGATACACATACAGTGTAACATGAACTGAGAAAACCTGTGGTTTTTTTATGGAGTTTGGAAAAAATCAACCATGTTCTTCTTCTATTACGTAGTATGGAAATTTACTTTTCCTTTCTTTTCTAGTCTTGCATTTAGGCTAAAAGTTATGGTCACGGTCGAATATAATTTTTTTTACTTGCTTTGAACGTACGTTGGCCGGACGATGACAACCAGCTGCTAAAAATATTCGTCTGAATCTGAGAACTACAAGCATTTTTCTTTTTATCTCGGGGTTAAGTTAAAGTTAAAGTCTACGCCAATTGACTGCAGCGACGACCTACTAAGCACTCGAAGAATACCTTGAGCTGTTATTATTAAAATCGAAACTTGCACTTTGCATTAAAACCGCTACATATAACGCAAATAATAATAAGATTAATAATGGAACTCTATTAGAAGACTCGTATACGACTCGTTATTTGGACAGACTAATCTAAATGAATAATACATTAATCAATGGGAAATTCATTGCAAACGGCGATAACGGTGACGACGACGTGTCTCCGGTAAAGTATATAAATAAATTTGTAAATAATTTCTATTGATGCAAATTGATTTGAATTAACGTAGAGAGCTTACCAAGTCGTAACCTGAATTAACTGTAGAAGCGTTACTATATGTGAATGGCCCTCGTACGGTATATAATAAAAATACTATAACTATTTCGTTCTCTTATTAAATTATTAAAAAAGCTTGACCGATTTTCTACAATATAATAAATAAATGAAATGAAATATGACCCGTCTGACTGTTGGTTCCCGTTTAGCTCGTGTGAAGATTGGATTAAACATATGTAGAGAAAATATTTTCTCAATCAGTTTCGCTCTACAAATAGTGTTATATATACATATATATATATATATATATATATGTGGAACACTCTTCTTTTTATATTTTTTTAGACTTTTTTTTTTTTTTTAGCCTTTTTTTTTATATTTTTTCTTTTGTAGATTTATGAAAAATATTGTAAGAATTAAATTAATATTATTTTTGCAATCCTTTTTAGCTGGTATATTTCATCAGTTTTTGTGTATATACGTCGTATGTATGCATTAGATGATTATATTATATTAAGAGACCTATGATTAAATTACAATAAAATCTTAATTTAAACATAGTTCATATAAATGTTTTTCCATACATAATTATATTTATATATATGTATCTATGTTATAAATAAATGGACAATTTACAGTGTTTAATATAATAATAATTTCTCTCTTGTATTTTTGATTTTTCTTTTTTTTAATTTTTTTTTTAATTTTTATTTTTATTTTTTTTTTTTGCATTTTTTTCGTAATTTTCAATTTTTTAGAAAAATGATTTTGTTTTACACTATTTAACATATTTTGTAACAGAAAATATAAACTTTATTGGCATTTAAATACACGTTCCAACATAAGGGATTATCCTACTGAAATTGTTTGATTGGTTTTTATGTTTCTTTTTAAATGCCATTAAAATTAAGTTTTTTTTTTTTAAATTTTTTTTAAATTTTTTTTAAATTTTTTTTTAAATTTTTTTTTAAATTTTTTTCTTTTTTATTTATTTATTTTTATTTTTTATTTATTTATTTTTTTTTTTTTGTAGGCATATTAGTGTTTTCTTAAAGGAAGTGTATGTCGTTTGCAAAAGGAACTGCTCGAAAGTTTTCAAAGAAAGCTGATGCGAAAGCTATGGTTTTGAAAAATGAATCCATTGGATTTCTTTTTTACTTGAAAAAAAGATTATTACATAAACTGGTATACTTCCTTAAGGCCGTAATAACGTGGCAGTGGAAAATAGTACAGAAACAAGAACATTAAATTTTCAAGCAGATATCTTTAAGAAACGACTCCACTTCATCGAAATGATTACTTCAATTGTTTGTTAAATTTTTCATGCTACTCAATTTTTTTTTTTTTTTTTTTTTTTTTTGGTTTTTTTTTCTTGCTTTTCACATATTCATAACTAAATATGTATTTAAATTAAAATAATTCGTACCATAGTAATAATAACCATAATAATAAGAAAGTCATTACACGACTTGATGTTGTATTAGAAAGGTTTCTTTATCTTCTCCTTCTCTTTAATTGAAGGCTTATGAGTAAAACTTTGAGAAGACGGTGTTAAGCGAAGATGTGAATTTTATTATTTGAAACGAATATTGGAAGTGTTTGAATGTATTTTTTTTTCTTTTTTTTCTTTTTTCTTTTTTGTGTACAAATATTATATAGAAATAATTAAAATTTAATGGAGTTAATGAACCTAAAGGAAACTAAATCTATATTAAAAATAAAATAAAGCATTTAACTAATGTTATACTTGCATTAATTTCAATTTTTTTCTATAGCCACATTTGAAAAATCTATATATATCGTTGCGTTCAAAGCGTGGACAAGAAAAGTAGTTGGAAACACAGGAAGGCTTCTAGATTTAATATAAGTAAAGTCTTCTCCTTTTCAGCCTTTCTTTTTTTTTTTTTTTTTTTTTTTTTTTTTTTGTAACCTTTCTCTTTCTTCGTTTTTTTTTTTCCGAAGCCGTATTTATTGAAAATAATTATAAAAACCATTCGTACCTTGACCCAATTCGCGTATGGCTGCGAAGGGATCCTTTTCACTGCCATCAATATTATTGCTAGCAGAACTTGTTCCACTTATGTTTAAGGCAGCACCGCCACCGCCACCGCCACTGCCACTGGTAATGTTATGTTGCATAACATCTGGTTGTTGCGGTCGTTGGCTTAATACCGCTGCATACGTGGTGCTGCGTGTATCAGCTGTTGCAATAGTGTTATTCGGTGGTCCAGTACTGTTCAATGCGTTACTTTTTTGCTGATGCATTTGATTATGGAAACTATTATTAACACCGTCCGCGAGAGGATTCGTTGCAAATGTATTATTGCCTACAAACGTGTCCATGTCATTGTGTTTGATTCCGGGGCTATTGAAATTATTGTAGAGTAATTTTTGAAAATTGCTATTATGTTGTGGATGCTGCGTTTGTTGTGGCTGCGGCTGTAACGATTGTTGCTGTTGCGGTTGCATGTCTTGATGTGGATTATTTTGGAAGAGTGAATCGAGAAGATTTCCAGCAGTTCCCGTACCTAAGCCGGCTAGTATATCATTATTACAGTTGGTAAATATATTATCAGGCGCTGAAGAAGATAACGATTGGCCGGCGGTGGTGTTAGCCGAATTGCCAGCACTATTTATATTATGAGCATTGCCCATTGTCATTCCTTGACGCCTATAGAGTGGTACCGAAATAGCAGGTGCTGCTTCCCCAATATTCGAACCCAGGAGAAATTCTTTGTTATTAAGCAAAGTATCTAAAAAACCAATATTATGCATTTTCAATTAAATAAAATGAGTTAAAATTTATATTAGCTGAGTTCTTGCCAAACCATTTGGATTTAAACAATGCTTAACGTACAATAAATCGGTATTGAGATGCAGAACAAAACAGAACACATAAATGACGAATTGAGATCTAAAATGACGTCATTTAACGTTATTTTTTTTTTCTTCAATCAGTAAGTATCTGACATATCTGTTATAACTCATCAGCTGTTTACAGAACTTATTGAAATTTTTATATTTGCTAATAATTGAAAATGAGAAATTTGAAACGTTTCAAAATTTACAAGTTTAAGATTGCATCGTAATCCTAGCAATATTTACTGTTTTTATTACATAAACGGACCCACATATACATAAATAGTAGAATCTATACTGGGCGCAATTGTGCATATTACAACCGAACTGATTGATACATAACTAGTACACATCCATCCTCCAAAGGCAGGCATGACAATGATTTGTATTTTATATTTTTTGAACATATTTGTGATTTTATACTTACTGTTGCCTAAAAAAGCGCTCCCTGAGCCGACCGTAGGCAATGGTGCTTGATGTTGCTGCGGCGGTATCGAATGCAATGTAAACATATTAGAGGTTAATGGATTCTTCGTTAGGTTGTTTGATTGACCGCTTAATAAGGCAGCCCCCATCCCTGTTCCCGGGAACAATTTACTATTATTTGCTGTGGGTGGAGTTGCGTTTGGCAGTAACTCGCCATTTATGTCTGTACTGTTGCTGCCACCTCCACCCACTCCAAAAAGATCGCGTAATATCGGCTGTGATATTTCATTGCCGTTAATAATAGAGTTAAAGACCATATCAATTTGTTGATTAAAATTAATGTTGCCATCCAAGGGTGGGGTTTCATCATTAGCCACGGTTAAGGTTAACGGAGGCTGCATCAGATTGCTTAGCGGTGGTATCGCTGTGGCTCCCATAAACGGTTGGGCAGTACGGGGTTGCTGTTGTTGTGGTTGCTGCTGCGGATAAGCAATCATGGGCTGTTGTTGCATCAGATCACGTGAGATTAACTGGTTTCCCGCATGTAAATGTGGACCACCTTGTAAGTGTTGCGATGGCTTCAAATTAGGATTTGATTGTTGTTGGAGGGCGGCAGTCACCTGACGCAATGCGTCTGTAAATTTATTAGCTGCCTCTTGACCTTGGATTTCCAAAAGTTTTAAGTACCATTTATATTGGAGATCCTTGGATTCAAAGGCCATCTCGTAAATGTTCATGTTGGGTGGCAAAACAGAAGCGTATTCATTGGGCAGAGGAAATCTCAGAGTTGTTGGCGATTGTTGTTTATTATTTGCAGCGTTGGCCATCATATTAGGAGCTGCGATTGGAAACAGATTAGCACCAATATTTAATGGCGGCAAATGTACATTATTGAGTAATTGAAATTCTTTTTCTTTAAGTCCGCCAGGCATATTGCTTTGGCCAAAGAAGCTAGCCTGGGCGGCCCCAACAGTGCTACCAGTAGGAGGCCTTTGCATAAATGAATCCATAGGACTGACAGGGCCGTTGGGTATGCCCGTAATGTTCCTTTGATTTATCATTTGCAATTGGTTAGGTGCCACATTGTAGCTAAAAGTCGGAAAGTTAACGTGTGATTGCGGGGGTGCTGATATTTGGGTACCTTGACCTGGATGTTGTTTCCCGTATAAGGCTTTATTTGCTAAATACCCTAAGTCGCTGGGATTGTTGCGCATCGTTTGAGGATTAGTAAGGTTCGGCGGTTGCAGAGGCACACTTGTTCCTCTTACACCGTGAACGGGTTGCTGTGGTGGCATCTGACGACTGTTGGGTGGTACACCACTAGCGTTGGGAGGCTGCGACATTGGTGGCTGTTTGGGCAAGGCGCTCCATGGATTTGTTTGCGGTGGTGGTCCCCATAAAGTGGCATTTGGATTTTGATTCCCTGGTAGTCCGGGCTGCTGACCAGTGCCTGGTGGTCCCCCCCTTAAAGATGGCTGAGTATGCCAAGGCATATACGGCGTAGGTGGTTGGCCCATATGCACAGCCGAGAGGGGAGGCGGGCCACGCGGATTAAACTGTTGCGTAGCCATAGGGGGTCCTGGCTGCGGTACTGTTTGAGGGCCACTGGGAGGTGGAGGTCCAATAGCTCTCATTGGCATATGATTCGGATGACTGGAAAAATTATGTCCCCCTTTACTGGGTACTAATCCTTGATTCATCATTGCAGCTGCTGCTGCCGCAACATTATAAGCAGCTGCAGCTGTATGGGGTCCATACATGTGTGGTATGTGTTGGCTGGCCATGTTAGCAGGATGATGTGGTGGTATTGAACCATGACCGCCAGCAGCTAATAACCCTGGATGGGGTCCTAATGTTCCTGGACCATGTAAACTTCCAGTATGCGGTCCGAGTGGATGATGGTTATTGGCTATGCCAGCCATTGCAAGATACATAGCAGCCTGATCACGCAAGTACGCCTCAGGTTGTAAAGAACGGGGTATAAATTCGGGCGCCAATGGATTTAACACATAACCTTTTTTCAGCTCCACTCCATCTAATTGGGAGCGCAGTTGCCACATTGTGATTCCAAAAAGGGATTTATTCTCATGGCATATCTGTATAAAACGCTCCCAAACTTTACGACATCGTCCAATTGAGCAAAGGGCTACTGGATCGCCAACTACAGCTACTAAGCTTTGCGCCCTGGTAAATGCCGTGTTAAGTAATTTCGAATTGCTTAGAAAACCATAATCTGCATCTTCTACAGGATTAAATGACTGACCAGGGAAACCAGCGACTGCCATACCGTTAGGCATGCAGGTTCTGCGAGTGCGCACCGTAGAGAGAAATACCGCACGAAATTGTTTACCCTGAACATTAAGAACACGCTCCACAGAGATTCCACCCATTCGTCGTTTTCTTAATTCAGAACGTATACGAAAAACCTGATCTGCGTAAGGTGTCATAATGCCAATGCTTGCATCGTTTATTTTGCCCCATGACGTAGGCCATTTTTTGCGCAATTCAGAGACGCGTTCAACTAACTCATACACTTCAGCATTGTTATAAAATGCCGTTGAATTTTTGTCTTGAACGTCCTCGCCTCGGGTGGTGAAAAAAGTCAATGGATAAAATTTCTCATGACGCGGTTGTTTACCAGAAGCAATCAGCTTTTGTTCATAAAACAGCTCTGAGGTAAACTTGATAATGACCTCGTGAGCACGATAATTTTCGCATAACAATATTTTACATGGAAAATTGGAGGGATAGTGATCGTAAAGACGTTCCAATAGCGAAATATGCAACTTACGTTCTTTAGCGAACGCTGAGAACAATTCGGGACTCATTTGCATATGATCACCTGCCAGTACTATGCGTGTGCTTTCGTTAGCCAAAGCCAGTGGCATAATCGCTTCACATTCCATCGCTTGAGCGGCCTCATCAAGAAAAATATGAGTGAAATATCCCTTAGGTATATCCAAATTGGCAAGTTCCATTGATATATTAAGGGTTACCACAACAATACGATACTTCATTATATCATCGACAGTAGGACGACGAAAATTACCTGCGCCATCGTTTACGCAATACTATAAAAAACAAGAAATACTTCATATCATACAACTAATCTACGTTTTCACGTTTTTACGTTTAAATATTTCATACCTTTTGTACAACACCATTGACAGTAGCTACCCAACGCTTATGATAATACACTCTGAGAGGTATGGCTTCCTTAAAACCTTCTTCTATCCATGGATGCAAATATTCTTTGATATATAAGTCAGCTGCTGAATTTGAATGTGTACATATTAAAATTTTAGCTTCCGGTTGAACCAATAATTGTTTTATTGCTTGGGCTAAAGTGTACGTTTTGCCTGTACCAAATGGACCAATTAACAGAATGGGTGGTAGTTTAATGCCCAATGAAGTTGTAATAGCATTGACAGCTTCTCGTTGTTTGGCATTCAACTTGGGTTCACATGTCTCAGACCATTGCTTTTTGGGCGTCCATGGTATACTCGGCTCGATATCCGTTACAGGAAATATGATTTTAAAATCAGTAATTTTGTCCACTGCATGGTGCCATTCACAATACGGTAAACGATTAAGCTGAAACTGTATGTCCACATGTATTTCTGTATCGGCCTTTAATTTCATACTCTCAACGCATTTGGCTGAAAGCTTTAGGTAAATCACATTTTTGCCCTTGTCCTCAATAAGCGCCTCGTAGACATTACGTTTTTTATCCTTTACTTGGCCCTCTTCAACTGGAGATATATAAACACTGGAGCAGTTGGATAAAATTAAACGACCCGCAGATGTATCTTCGGATATGTCTTTACCCAAATGCATTAACGCAAAGAGTTCCCCTGATAGCGAGTATTTGGCGGTGCTAGTAGCCATTCCAGCTGGCGTTAAAATATAGTTTGATGTAACCGTAAGCTTCGTACTGAGATTAAAACGAGCTATTTGTTCGTAGCGGGCTATTTCTTCAACGTATAGCAGTTCGTGAATGCGCGACCGGTAATTATTTTGCGTTAAACGCTTCTCCAGAATGGTCGACTGAGTGAGGGTGAAGGTTTGAGCTCGTGGACAAGGATATCGCTCCAGCATTTCCTTTTCATGCTTTAAATCGTTCAAATAGGCTTCAGTCTTCAGGTGAGTACCAAGTGTGGTTTCAAACTTAACCAAATTAGTGTTCGAAACATCCCAACGAGTGGCCGAACTATTTATAATATCACGTTTGATTTCTTCAATTTTCTCAGCATCATTTACAGGTACAACGTCAACACATAAATGTCGCACCAACAGTGGTTCTGTGCCGAAATCAAAACATACAGCTTGACGAAAAGTACCATAAATTTCTGTATGAAATTCTAAAGTGATTTGATATTCAAGAGGACTGTTATTGGCAGATGTTGGAGAGGAATTCATTGTTTCTTGTGGTTCGATTTCTTCCTTCCTGGGGTCATTCATTTCTTCTTCTTTAACACCAGAATCAGCAATCGTTGATGAGGAAACCAAAGCTGCAGCTGAATGCTTATTATGAACCCATTCTTGATTGGTTTTTAATTCTAACTCTTCATTTGAGCCCATTATTTTAATAGACTTAATGCCGAAATGACTGCGATGGGCATCTTGTAAGAGAGCCACGGCCCTTAAAGGGTTTCCTGCCGTCTTAAGAACAAAAATCCATTCACGTTTAGATGATTTAGAACTAATGCTAGTAACAAGATCTTGCTCACAAACAGCTTCAATGCCAACAATTTTCTCACACATGATTTTTTCTGGTGCTGTCGACTGAATCCATCTTTCTAATATTTCTTCGGTGTAAGATTTACCGTAGAGTTCCTTTTCCCACGCCTTTTGAACCCGCATACGTCGATATTCAAATCGTTCCTTCCACTCGTTAAGCTCATCTTGCCCGTGGGCCTCCACGCATTGATTACCGTAGTGGCAGGTTTGAAATTCGCTCCAAGATTCGCAAAGACCATAGGAGTCTAGTGTATAACCCCTAGGAGGAGGTCTCCACTTCCAATCTCGACCTTCATCTGACATTATGACGTTTTGATGAGCTTCGGTTTGACAATGTTGTCTAAGCTCTATGCGTGTATTGAAGGTAATAGCGCAATAAGAACAGGTTGTAGAGTTGCTATTTTCGATTGAATCTTCTGAAGCAGACTTACTACCAGAAACTTTAAGGCCAGCTAAAAAATCAGTTGTCTTTTGCAGATTCCCAGTGGAACTGCTACCAGTTAGGCCAACAGGATTCGACACTGCGCCATTGTGAGTTTGATTTTCTCTTTTTTTTATACCTTTATTACTTAAGAGTTTACTAAACTTATCTAGCGGAAGATTATTGGTGGCCCAATGGTCGAGTTTGGTGTCTAAAATTGACATCTCATCCTCTAAACGAGTATGAGTGATTTTCTGCGACGATTTATTACTGCTCAGCATATGTATAACGGACTTGTAACGTTCTAGGGTCTTACAGATGTCCACAAATACCGGCTGTGACGTTAACTCTGAAACCCATTCTCGCAAAATGTGTTCAGCTTCCTGAAATGCAAATAACGTAGTGTTCTTAAGTAACTCGATAATGTACCAATAAAAAAAACCAACCGGATATTTCTTAAGCTTGCACAAAGAATGAACAAGCCAACGTCGTGTCCTGGAAACGCTAGCTAAACAATCCGTCTGCTGCTCACTTAGCATCGAGATAATTTTTCGAGCGTCGTTAAGACACAACTCATATTTACCCAATTCTAAGAGACATTCGCAGCGGCCCAACAAACAGGAAATATGACGATCTTTAAGGCTTCTACTGTTGACAGTTTGTGTATAAGGAGGAGAATTTAAAATTTGATCGTACAATGTCACAGCCCGAGGCCAGTTACGCCATCTTACATTATCATGTGCTTGCATCTCTTTTTCTGTCATTTTATCTGTGCTAGATTTGTTTTTCGTTTTTGTCCTATTTCTTCCGACTTTTTTTTTTTAATTTCTTTTTACAATTTTTACAAAAGGACAGACAAGAAAACTTTTAATGAATAGAGTTTTCTCTTCTCGTTATCTCTTAATAAATTTTTCAGCTTATTTTACAATTATTTTACAAAACAATCAATTAATTGAGTTTAACGCTCGGTTAGGACATGTCAGATTTTTTTCTTTAAGAAATCTAAAAATAAAACAAACAATAATTATTAAATGATTAGATGTTAAGCAATTTTCGCAGTTTTGTTGTTTGTGGCTGAAAGATAAAACAAAACAATTGTCGTCGTAAACAAATGTTTTATAATGCAGAAAGAAAGAAAGAGAGAGAAGCAGACAGAAAGAGCTCGGTAAGAAAATTCTGTATAATATAATTTATAAGACGATTCAAAATGTGAAAGTATCCTTTTGAGCGAGGAAAGACAAAAACAGCAACGGGTAAAAGTTACAAACATCAACCGGTCACCGGCATAAATCTGTTTTACTTATTTATTACACTATATCAACTTCGTATATACATATATACGTATACATATATATATAATATATATATATAATATATATATATATATATATACATATACTGATATATGTAAGCAAACATCGGTAGCAATTTTCATCACTTTTTTTTTTTTGTTCACTTGGAACCGCTTCCCACACTACCAGATGATCTTATAACAGAGACATATCTCTTATTTATCGCCTTCGTAATTTTTTTATTTTATTAAAACGCTTTTCTTTGACATCGTAAAAGTTTTTATTTGGATATTTAATTAATTTCTTTATATTTGTTCATACGTGTTGTTCTTCACTTATATCTTTACTTTTTTCGCCTTTTTTTCATTCCACAGTGTACAGTCATTTCTTTTTCTTGTTATACGACCTTATTTATAATATTTTATAATCGTTCAATATGAAATTTGTTTTGCTGACATTAAAGTCGTTTTGATTCGATATTCACTCGCTTGCTTGAATTAAAATTAAAGTAGATTGAAATAAAAACTTTACTTTGTGAAAAAGAAAAAATACCAAATCATTTTAACTTGTGTATGTCGCAGTTCGTTATTGCTGAATAAAGACCGCATAGTGCTATAAATAATTCAATTATTTAAAAATTTGAACCGGTTTTGTCGACGAGACCATTTTCGATTAGAAAATTGCGCCAAGCTCACTCTTGATTTTTAAGAGCCACAAACAACTCATTAAAGAAAATTTTAATTGACTTAAAATTATGCAATTAGGAGACTTGAATCATTAAATCGTCATTAAGTTTCAGTAATTTCTATGGATAAATTTTTCACTTCATTTAAAAACATCTGTACGCGAAACCAGGTTTCCGGACGATTTATCACGATTTACATACATATATATATATAAACCTACTTTTTTATTTTAACAGATATTTATGGCACGGACGAAATCCCGCATAAGCAGAGAATCGAGTAATTTAGTTAAAGCAATGAAATATATATGCCTCCAAATAAACTCCAAGACACAATCATCCCGTAAAAAGCAAAATTTCTATACAATTAATAAATTAATTGCGCCCGTTAATAACACTTAGAAAAGTACATTCTGCTTGGTTATATTTACTTTATGACCTGACGAAGCAAAATTGAAAAATATTTAATATGTTTTGAGGAGACTTGAGAGGCTAAAAAGTTTTTGAAAGTTGCATAAATAGAGCCGCAATTTTAGAAACTGATAACGACTATTAAATATCAATCAACACCCTTTTTGCTCTTACGAGTGTAATATTATCATGTGCCCTTACGATTACTTAAACATTTGCTTTTATTCGCACAATATCCCCAACACTATCAATCGCTAAAAGGATAGAAAAGGAAAAACGCGACTTGTAAACAAAACAAAACTTCCAAATTATATGCTATATCTGATTACACTAACGTGTAATATAAATTTTCAATATTAAATTTTGATATTGTTATTTATTCATAAATATTTAGCCAGCGAGTTTTATTTGAATTTATTAAATTCTAAATACAAAAGTCAGTGGCAACTCTTTCGTACAGAAAGATGTCAAAAAAGAAAATTTTTTGCTAATCGAAAAAGGCAAAGAAATAACGAATATTTTCACGGATTGTTAAGATTTCGACGAATTATTCTATAAATATTTATTTCAAATGAATTTTATCCACTTTTCTATAGGAAAACTGATAACTTCGAACAATTTTCTTACATGTTTTTACAGCTGTTTGCAACTTTCATACATAATTTCGTAATTTTATTGAAGCATAATTTTCACTGTACTTTAAGCTTTCTGACGCCTTTAGGTCTTTGCATATCACTTTATTTACTTTTTATATCGTTTTAATTAATTTAAACGTATTACTTAAAGCATTTAAACAAAATTAGTTTCCCAACTGCACAGCAAACTTGTCATAATGATTTGGTTGCCATTTTGTACAATACTAAATAAAATTAAAGATTCTATTTGTCAGAATGAACACGATGGATGTTTCAAACCGATGCCCAAAAAATAGACACTCATACATACATAATATGTTTGTTTTCCTATGCAGCAAGATCATATCTTGTTAGAAATGGTTTAAGCGTAATCAGAAAAAAATTAATGCAATTATAACACTTTTGTTCTTTTTTCTGTTTTGTTTTTTATATGGTGAACTTATCACAATTTATGGGTAATGTTAATTTCATTATCAACGTGGCATTTAGCGTTAATTATAAGTTTTAGTGGCAAATAGTAGATGAACAACACATAACAGATAGTTATAGTTACTTCTTCTTCTGTTATTCAGCAAATTAATAATCCAAAACCCTCAGGGATGTGTTAATTTAAATCATTATTTGATAAAATAACTAAGTTGACAAAATCTTTCGTAGCGATAACTAATTGCTGTAATATATTTTACAAAGACCGAACCGCAAGACACGCGAAATATTAGTTATCACACGGCAGTTTTCATATTTCAAAGTAATCAGAGTTTATTTTTAGCATACTTGCTCAATTTTGGAAGAACGACATACCTCGCATTTTTACTGAACTTCAGAGTTACTCAGTAAAAGAGTAACACAATTGCAATGTTTGCTGGACTTGTGACTGAGACAATGAAATTAATTTGCATAAATTTTGTAAAGGAGTACTTTAATTTCTAAGGTTCACAATTAAACTGTAAACTAAGAAATGACATGGCAACTCTATCTCGTGCAAAAGAAAACGTCAAAATGAAACGTCACGACAATTTGTAAGAGAACAAGAAAGGCGAGTATTCTATAAATTTTTATACAATTATATTAATTTAAGAAGTTTGCGAGCCTTGATTAATTCACTTTTATTTCTATAAAAGCCGTAACGTCAGTTTTTTTAAATGGTTTCCTGCGAAGATAAACATCATTATAGTTACCGATGATTTTTTTCACGCTTTATCAAAAGTAAAATTTTCTTAAATATGAAATTCTCATAAACTTTACGTACATTAAAGTTTTTCTAACTTACCTTTATTGTGACTAATTCAAACCATAATTTTTACATAGGCTTTAAATAAAAATTGATAATTACATCAACTGCACGCAAGGATTTTAATAATAAATAGAGTTGCCAAGTCATTCGGATGATAAGCACATACACCATGCACAAAAAGGGTAGGAATTCATAATTTTAGGAGTTTGACACGGAAGCTTTAAATGGGAATAAAATCCTATAAGCAAATAGAATTAATTATATATAAAATAAATTTGATCAATAACCGAAAATTTGCAAAGAGTGCGATTGAGTTTTATTAATTCCATGTTCTCATTTATTAGTTTGTCTTTTTCACAAAAAATCTTAAACAAAAAAAAAAGCGAAAATAGAAATTTATATAACACATAAAAAAAAAATAGAGTTTTAATAGCTTTACTAATTTGACGAAGGTATTAAATTTGCTTTTTTTGCTTAATGAAAAACATACTAACTGATCATTTAGCAAAGTTATACAAGCTTGCTTAATGCTACAATTTTCTAAAATGAAATTTACCATTTGAATGGTGTATTCTTAAATTAAAATTTTTTTAGTTTTTTGTTAACTGCCACTGTATTTATAATGTTTGAATGTTTAAAAAAGAATTATTCTAATATATTTTCTACTTTAGAAATTTTCGCAAAAATGAAAATAAAATCCTTCTTCGACACATAAAAAAATGAATTGGAAATGTAAAAAGTTTTACATTGACGTCAGGTTAAGCAATCAAATAAGTTTCAGCAAAATAAATAAGTTTCGTCTTTATCTTGCCTCAAAATTTTGATTAAAATTTTAAATTCGGCTTATGAATTTTTCTTATTAAAAATCCCTAATTAAGTTGGAAAATTACTTATTACGTTAAATCGATTAAAGAGATCACTCACAATAATTAAAACGAGTACGTTAATAAAGTAGATATCATCTTCATATATATGCATAAATGATAATTCGACATAAGTCGAATATAAAAACTGTTTTCTTGTGTTAGTCCTCTAGGCATTGTTCACACTAGATATAATCCGAAAAAGATGTTTAAAAATTGCTATTGTAATGATTTAAATTTGTAGATGTAAAATCGGGGCACCGAATTTATAAAATTATGAAACTAAACTAATAAACTTAATATCTTTCCGTTTTCCCCTTTTCGATAAATGTTCTTACGAATACATGAAGTAAAAAGTATATATGCTCCACTGTATGAAGCGAATGTGTTTAGATCATTCACATTCGCTTTACGGCAAATTTAATTTTGTAGTACAGAATTTGCTCAAGATCAATAACGGTACTGAGATTTGTAATCGAATTGTTTATAGAAGTAATTTTAAATTATTTATGTAATTTGCAAGGTTTATTTGTTATTCTTTTCTTTTTTGTTGTAATAGACTTGCAGGCTTCATTTTCAAAAAACAGATTCAATGGAGGGCTATAAGCACATACAGGCTTGTAAGTGAATTTGACATAACCTTACTTTTTTTTACTCCAAATAATATATTTTGCTTTCATTTGTTTAGTGCCGAATTCTCCTTTGACTCCTCTAACACCGTTAAATGAAAATACTCAATTTGATTTCAATTTGGGCGGTGATGGCTCATTGGATCATCACATTGAGAACGTTCGTTTGGGATTTCGTAAGGAAAAGCAACACAAACATCGTCAAGTAGAACAAGTCAGCTCGAGGAGGGTCTTAAAGGCAAAGGACGGCTGTGAAATCTTAAATAAACGTGGAGCGCAAAAGGCACAGCAACAATACTATCCGCAGCAAGGAGCAGGAATTCAGATAAAAATTACGGAAGATAAAACGGTTCATCAAAGCTATGTAACTACGCCCACACATGCACGGCCCCCATTGCGCCCAGTTAATCGTAATATTATGCCGGACTTACAAAATAAGTTTGGCTACCAACACAAGCATCAAGAACAACAACAAAAACGAGGAAAAGTACATTATCTTCGTCCGGCCTCTCCCGTGGCTACAAAGGCTTTATCGCCTCGCATGGAATGCGTTTTAAAGCAGAAAAATCTCATGGGCTATTACGATTTGTTTCAACGAGAAGAGCTTGACATCTTCGCTTTTCTTCTATTGCAACCCAACGACTTACGTTGCATGGGAATTAGTAATGATAATCACATTGCTATGATTATGAAGGCCAGAGAATTCGCCCGGAAACATTTTAATTAATTTTTAATTTATTTGGGTTAAGATTTAATTAAAAAAATTGCTGTTTCCATTTTTTGCTTATCAAGAGATGTATTGAAATATTGTCTATTGAATGAATTATTATTATTTATTACATTTGCGTTTTTACTAAATTAAAAGAAAAGTTCTCGAGAATATACGCAGAAATTTTGCCATTTAGAAAACTGATAGTCGCCTTGATCTTGATTAAATGCTTAACTAATTGCATCTCTTTGAATAAGTATTTTCAGACGGCTATTGCGATATTCTTTTGTTCGGGAGTGTGACCAAAGACAACGGATCATATAAAATGCAACACAGAATATTGTTCATATTCGGAATCGGTTCAAGCTTGTATGCTGGTCTGTATATTGTCCGCTGAGGGTAACATTCATAATCATAATCTTAAAAATATAATAGTTATATTTAAACAATAGTCCATACTTTCTATTATTAATATTAATCTAGAGCTTTATGTTTGGAGTTGGTATTTTTGAAATGTACAAAATTCTGGGGCTGCGGGGTGAATAGATCTTTTCGATTCAGGTCGCCAATATCCTTTACTGTTCAAATCTTCTTGCACAATGCGGGTTGTTGGATAACATATATCAGATTTCGTAAATTCACTCTAATAGGCCGGTTTTATAAATATTAATACAAAAATTTTGATGTTTTTTATCCTGAAATTTAAGAGAAATTATTAAGGGATACCGTTTATATGGGTCAGAATATCTATAATGAGTGTTCCTATGTTAACCGTTTGCAAAAATTAAAAATCTCAAAATATCAAATTGAAAAAATGAAGAGAATGAAATCGAAACTATTCGTAGTTGATTCTTAGGCTCGGAACTTTTTAAGTCCTGTTATTTATTAATATTGAGGTAACACTCATGAGTATGGGAAGAATTTTTTCCATCATTTAAACAAATTCAAGAGCACTTATCAAATAATATAGAAAGTCTTGAAGTCCTAAGAATTAGTGATGAGACTATGCCGTAGGTAGTTTACAGAAAACTCTCTGCTGTTAACAGTGCTTTATAGTCACTCGCGAAAAGTAGGCTTAAAGTACATATAAATCAATTCAACTCTCTCTTAAACTAAAATTGATTGATATACGAACCTGAAATTTGTTTTAGTTTACATGTGAATATTATATGTAAAAAGTAGGAGTGTTATAGTTGGGCAAGGCCGACCATTAAATACCTTACATCACATTGACTGATAAAATTTTATTTTTATTTTTATTATAGAACATAAGAATTATACTTCGTTTATATATAAAGGCATATTTGCCATTTGTGTATTTATGGGAAAGCAGGCTCAAAACGCAACCTAATATGGTACTAGTTTAGTCCTTACTTACGGAAGCATCCAAAAATAGGCGCAGATGGCCTAAATTTTGTAGAGTTAATTTTTATGTGACATTACTACAGTTTATAACTCAATTTCGATCACAAAAATAAAAATTGTGTTAAACAAAGTGATGGAGGATATTTAATGGCCGGCCTTGACCGACTATATGTTTTTATATTAAATTACCATTGTCATATAATTATATTGATCATTTTCATCAGGAAGCATTAAAAATTACACTCTCTTGTCGTAAGAGCTTTAGTTTTCATTATATGAGAGGGAGTTAAAAAATTACCCCAGCCGGTCCAAAGTTTTCATAGCAATTTGGAATGCCGAAAACCATTTTTCCCGAGAAATTTTGAAAATTACCATTTTTCCATATAACTAATGTTCAGAATAGGGCGGTATATGGTGAGGGGTCGAAAAAATTGACCGGTCCGAACCATTTTCAATAGTGCTCGTCCTTTGGGCGTAAGCACGTCACTTTTCGAGATTCAGCCGAAATACCCCCCATCGATCAATTGACGCATCCGCGTGTGACATGGTATTTTGCAAATCTAATCTATTAGTAAATATTGTGTTTTTAACGCTCGAATATCGAATAATACTTCCGAAGTTTTTGATGATTTTTGTACCCTACATCACGTGTCGTGAAAGGGTATATTAAATTTATCAGAATGTATGCAACACTTAGATGGACTTGAGATATACACATCTTTCATTACGCTGATTGGTTCAGAAAATAATTCTGAGCTTCTAAGCTTGTCTGTCCGTCTATTCATCTGTCTACCTAGTTTTGTTGTGTTCAATCTATAAGTCGTAATTTTTGAGGTATTTTCATGAAATTTGGTACATGGATGTGTTTTTTTGGGACGAACGCTATTGAAAATGGTTTATATTGGTCCAATTTTCCGCCCACTCGCCATGTAACGCTCTATTTTTATATGGAAAAAACTTGCAAATTTTCAATATTTCTCAGCAAAAGTCACTGAGCAATAGTATGTCGAGTTTATACCCACCGTCGTAATTCGAAAAAAGAACAAAAGAAGTGAAAGAACAAAATTTTAATGCTCTATAATATGGAGTGGGCGCAGGTGATTTCTTTTATTTACAAAATAAAAGCTTGGGTGTTGCAGACATGTCGTTTGAAAAGTTTAGATCAATTCCAAATTTTTTTGCAAATTTTTACGTAATATCTTCACTTTCGCTAAGGGGAGAATGTTTACCACAAATACTACAAAGTTGCGCAAACAGACAGGTGAACAGACGAACCGGCGGACATGTTTAGGTGCACTCAAGATTTGAAAATGGCCAAGAATTTTATTGGGTTTTTCAAGCTTGTTTCTCCGCGTTATAAAAATATTGAAAAAGCAATTAAAGTTTGATACGCTATAATATTGGGTAGGCACAACGCATCGCCCATAGAATATATGTTCAAATTTTTGTACGTTTATCTGCTATAGTTTATGAGTAGTGAGCAAAAAACCAATTCTTCATTCCCTTTGAAAAACACAAGTGTTCTCAGCTTACGTGATGCTGTGGGCGTATCCTTCGACCAATTTAGTCCATTTTCAAGGCCAACATGCGTGCAAGGACTTCCAATCTTTCTGCCAAATTTGAAGTCAATAGCTTCATTTTTACGGCCAGGAAAATGTTTACAACAGATATTTAACTCAAATGGACTGACGAGTAGACGGTCAGACAGACAGACGCATTGCGTGAGTACACCCCTCATTCTTCGGTGATGGATATTAAAAGGTCTAATTTTCAATATTTCAGAGTTTAAAAGAAGAGTTAACAGTGAATAGCTTCGATCACATAGGTCTATTTTTGAGACCCTAGCATATATATGAAGAGTAAGTATAATTTCTAGTTTTCTATGGCAGAAATTGAATAATAATAAAATTGTTCGGAGGTAAATTAAGTTTGCCAAATTTGGCTCATGTCATATAACGTTTTGGGCATCCTTATGGGTTTCATGAAAAGTATGTCTTTGTATGAAAATGATCGGTAATTTTTGATGCATTATTGCCAAAACGCGTACAAGGCGTAGCAAGTGGTATAGGGCATCCAATTGTCAGCCTTGTCCGACTATAAAGTTTTTACTTCTTTTCTGCATCGATTTGAGTTTGCCTATCCATTTGCCTATTCGTCTTGTATATTTGTGTTTGGTTTTTTTCAGCTACTTCCCACATACCGTCTTATTTTGATAAAATCATTTTATAAGTAGTTATATTAAGCCAACTAATGTAGAATATTTAATGATAGTCCATGGCCCACTATAATGTCGTTATTTGTTTGTTATAAATTTTACTAAAAATCCAAGTTATATTTGTTCAGACGAAGATTAACTTTAAGCTTTTCGTATTTACTATCGTATCCACCGTTATTGTATTGTATCTAAATTCCATATGTAAACGAACAAATCAATGAATGAGCAAATAGTTAACCTATTAAACAATAAAGACACGTGAAAGGTAAGTAAGTCTTCTTCTTGCAGTTGCAATAATTGAAAAAAAAAAAAAAAAGAAAAAAAAAAAAGATTAGATATATAGCGAATTATATTTAATTAATTAACTAATGATTGCTTTCGCCTAGGAACCATCATAACAAATATTTACCGAAATCATTTTTGGCTAAGGCGAGACCCAGCTCTATTAAGGTAAATATTAGCAACAATATATAATAGAAAATATTGATAATTTCTTTGAGGTTAACAACAGTAAAATTGCTGATGTTGTTTATATCGTTATTTTTGATTACAAATACACACAGTCATTAGATTTTAAAATCAACCGAAAAGGCAAGATTTGTTACTAAAATTTTTCGATTTTTCTTACTTTGAAGAAGGCGTTGTATGGGAAAAGAAATGTAGAACAGCAAAAAAGCAAGAAGCAAAGAAATTGTACACATGATCAAATTAAAAAAAAAAATTTTTGACTAAGGAGGTCTACATTTTCTTGGAAGTTCTCTGGAGATGTCTAAAAAGCTAATATTATTTTGAAGTCCCTATTGTAACGGAAAATTGTGCTTGTTACAATGATAGAATGCATTTGTTTAATATATTTGGGTAAATTGCAGTTATTAGATCGAATATATACGTACAGAAAAAAACACAACCAAACACAACCAAGTTTTATTATGTTTGTTTAATACTTGAAGATGGTTGGCAAACTATAAAAAGCCGAGAATTCCACGAAAGTCGTTACGTTTGGTTCGTTAACAAAATTTCAATTCAGCTGTGTATGCTATAGAAGCTGTTGCTGCTTTAGTTGTAGAGTTGTAGCTTAAATTATGTTCAGGATTCTGATGTTGCGGTAGTTTTCACGAGTGTTTTTAAAACTCATCTGAAACATACTACGGTTTGCTAACAGCGTAATAATTTAATAATCTAACAATTATATAATTAAAAGAAATGAAGAAGTGAATGCATTAAATTTAACATAAATATAAAAAAAAAATTTAAACCGATACTTCTGTTCAAATCATACATAAAAGCTTTTTCAGTTAAAAAATGAAAGAAAGCAAAGCACAGAGAAACTTTTATTATCTTAAGTTGGATAATCGCTTGGTATATATAGAGTACATCACATTTCGCGTATAAATTAAATTAATTCGCCGATCATATCAAATATATTTGAATCCGTGTTCGGGCTCCAATTAATTCTTGATTTGAAGAATCTTTCTTGTGCGGGAATTTTAAATGAACGCATAAAGTTAGAGGGACAGCATGAATATAGTTAATGTAATGGCAGGCGGATATTCGTATTGACGGTGGATTGTGTACACGCTACTCAAAAATATTACGATTTATTTTACATGTATGCCGATGTTGATGCGTGGAGTGTCCTCAAGCATATCTTATAAAGTTATTGCATTTGTGCAGACTACGTTGATGGCCATACTAATCAAAGCGTTAATTTTTGATAATATTGCACTGTACGCAACACACACATACAAGGTTTGAAACGTAACTCGGCCAGGTTTTATTATGTTTGCTTGACACAAAATAGTTGCTTGAAATTCGTTATAAGTGGGCATCTGTATGTAAAATTCATGTTGAGTGTTAGATTTATTAAAAAAAATTGTAAATCATATATGAATACAGACTGTTGCTGTTTCAGTTATATTGTTGTAAAAAAATATTATGTTAACCGATAAAAAATTTATAATTAAATCTTCAACAATTTTAAATGTATATGTTTATATAAAGGTACCCTAAAAGGAAAATACATGAGTCGCATAAGCGCATGAGTAACATATAAATAATACAACAGTAAACCACGGTTTCGCGATTTCTCTCACACAATTATTATTTGCAGCAATACATCCTTGTTAATCCTTGTTAAGGAAACGGCTTCAGTCCATAAGTGTTGGGTGCAGATTGAAATATTTCTCCGAAAATTAAGTACTTGTTTATGTAACCTGTAAGTGTTAATGAGCTCGTTTTAAAATTATCAAAATTTCATAAGCCGTTAGTTGAAGTTTAAATATATTTATCATATTTTTTAAATTACTAACTGCGTGCGAACTCCGTCTATTTAAAATGGTAACTTGCAGCTGGCCGTCACAAATGCCTGATTTTGCCTAACCAGTGAATTTGAGATTATTTTAGATGTTTTTCTTTACATCATAGTCTTGAGAATTTTTTAAAGAAATTTTAGCTTTTTAACTACATCTTTCGAGTATTAGTTACAATAGAATTAAATTCAACATTAACTAAGGATTTAAAAAGAGCATATTTTAAATGACTTGATGGTCACGATTCATTGTAAAATTATATTTCGGGACGGAATGGATGGATCCTGTTTTAATAATAAAAAATTTACTTAGGCGTGTGTGAATCTCCCTTAACGTGGTCTCATTTTTATAACTGATTATATATGTAAGTTTGAATGTAATACGATAGAAAGCAACCTGGTTTTATTTTGTTCGTTTAATACCATTAGGTTGGCACAAGTCGAGAATTGTCTAACACTCGTGTTGTTAGGTTCGTTAAAAATAAAAATAAAATACGAAATCTAGCTGTTGCTGCTTTTAGTTTCAAAAATTTTGCTCTCAGAATTGAATTTTATTCTCTGCACTTTTGCGGGGCATCCATAAGAAATGTACAGCAAAGACAGTAAAGTAAATTTTAGTCTCAGAAGTGAATTTTATTCTCTGCATTTTTCCGGGGCATTCATCAGAAATGCATAGCAAAGTAAATTTTACTCTCAGAAATGATTTTTATTCTCTGCACTTTTGCGAGGCATCGATTAGAAATGTGCTTTAAATATAGCAAAGTAAATTTTACGCTCAGATATGAATTTTATTCTCTGCATTTTTCCATACAAAATGTACTGCAAAGACAGCAAAGTAAATTTTAGAATTGAATTTGATTTCATTTCATTTTTGAATTCAATGTTGGTAAGGACGTGTTATCGCATATAAAATAAATAATATACGTTATTTTATATACGTTTTGAAACAAAAAACATACAATAATAATAAAACTAAAAAACATCAAGCCGTTATTTTTAGTTTACTTTAATTTAACAAAAAATTTAGAGCGAATTTTTTTTTTTTAATCCTTCCAAAAGGTCGTTGAAAAAGGTGTGATTTTTCGAGTTTTTACAAAAATTTTCATCAGTAACTTTTATAAAATATATAATAAAATTTCGGTTGCGGTGTTCGGTTGGGCTTTTTCGGGCCGTTTCTGAATGAATGAAAGAAAAAAAAAAAAAAAACATATATCAAATAGCATAGCGTTAAATTATAAAGTTAAACAAATGAAGGCAATCACAAAATTTAATGGATTACTTTTAACAAAATACTAGAAAAGAAAAAAAAATAATTGAAAGCATAAAAGAAAGGTGCGCTGAATAGAGAAAAGAGATGTATTTCTTGAAAAAAATTAAAAAAGGAAAAATAAGTAAATAAAGGTTTCTAGGTTTTATTCCTGTTGTGAATTAAATTTTATAACGGATAACTGCAATATAAAGGCAAACATATAATATATATATAGATATATATATATATATATATATATATATATATATACATATTTATGTATATATATGAATATGTATATCTATATATGTAGCATTTTTGTAAAGTGGTAAGTGGTGCATATGAAATTTGTTGTATGCAATTATTATGATTGCTTTAATTTTAATTGTAAACAATGGTAATTGTTGGTAATCGATGGATTGGTTGTTGAGTTTTCCATGTGTTACATTATGCATTATATATTACACATCACACGTTACACATTACACGTTAAACATACATGTACGTATTAGTTGTTTTTATGTACGTATATATATGTACAATATACAAAAGCTCCAAGTTAGTAATAAAATTAGCCAATAATTGCCGTTTTCCACTTGACTTGCATAGAAACGTAAACACACACACACACACACACACACATACATACATACATAAGTATTCATGTTTACAAGGAAAGGCCGATCAGCAAGACTAATTTTTAGAACATAAAGAGAGAGTTCGTCATAAAAATGAATGGAAAACAAAAAATGTTTATCCTCCAATAAGCCAATAATTTGGAAAGCAATATAAGAAAAAAAAATAAATCAAAGAAAAATTAATCTATACTTCAATCTTGTACTGCTGTGTTCACTGTAAATTCCAAGTCTTGAATTCTAATTCATATAAATGTATATTCACCTAAGTACCTACGTGCATGTGCGTCTTGAGTCTACATTAAATGATTATCGACGTTCTATCATGTATGTTTGGCTGTGTGCGTATGTGTCTTATGTGTGTGTGTATGTATGTATGTATGTGTGTATGTGTATGT